CAGCAGATATATTTGGAATATTATATATATTTAGAACATTAGACATATTCCGAACATTAGACATACTTGAAATATAAGCTATATTGGGAACATTAGATAAACCTGGAAAATTAGATACGCTGGGTACATTAGATATAGTGGGGATACAAGATATATAGGGGACATTAGATATACTTGGAACATTACCGCACACACTCACACACACAAAACATGCCCAGCTGTTAAAAAAGTGCACCACTGAAGAGTTTGAATGGGGAGATTAATTAATGACAAGAAGAAGCAGCTACACAGATGAGCGGAACATTATCTGAAGCTGTATTCAGTTGATACTAAACTAACAGGTAGTACTCTTAATGCCAGGAAGACGCTACCAATTTCTGACTATCTGGACATACTTTCAACAGTTGTAGAAGTTAGGAATGCTATTGATGAACTGGCTTCGTGGAAACCTTAGGCAGAGATGGAATTCCTACTAAGATCATCAGGAGTCAGAAAGACATTTTAACCCTAAAAATTCAACAGCTAGTAAGACTCTACTGGCGTGAGAAGCAGGTCCCGCAAAACTTCAAAGACTCAAGCATCACAAATATGTAGAAGGACAAGGGTGTCGGAGTGACAGCAAAAACTATAGGGGAATAACATTGCTGTGTACTGCTGGAAAAGTGAGTGCGATAATTCAGATCCTAGTAAACCAAGTTTACCCAGTGGCGGTGTGGCTTTCGTGCTTACTGGTCTACCACGGATAAGATATTTTCATTAGGACAGTTGCAGGAAAAATTCCGTAAACAAATTCAACCACTGAATATTGCTTTTATTTATCTTACCAAAGCATTTGATTTGGTGGGTCGAATAGGTCTGTTAAACACATTGAAAAAGATTGGGTGTTCGCTGATCCTACTGGGCATTAGTGAGTCGTTCCTACAGGTATGAAAGGTACAATCAATTTTAAGGGTGTAACATCGGAGGAGTTTGTAATCAACAATGACGTGAAATTTGCTCATATGTTGAATGTTAAATTAGGAATCGACATCGTAGCACTCGGGACACTCCCACAAGCACTCCGTCCTCATCTTCAGCAGCAAGCCAAGAGTTCCAATTCCAATGGTACCAGTAACATCCCGATTGTGTATCCGTCTCGCCTTTCACTTGAGTGCTGAGCGTCTGCCAGATCCCCTGGTAACTACTCGCAGAGCCATTCTCCTCACACCATAATGATCTATCTCTGCCTCCGCACTGTTCACTCTCTCCCAAACGGCACTCACAACATCTAGCTTATCGTTCGTCAATTCTGCACCAAGTCATACAGAACCGGCAAGTCTATTTACCTGCTCATTTCCCACCACACCGGCATCACTTGGACAAAATATCTAAAGGACGCTAACTACCCGGGACCCTGAAGTGATGCTTGCCGCTCTGCACGAAGCATGCCTGTCTCTACCTTCTATTGTCCAGAGAGCACCATAAAACAGCCGTCTTCTCTGAGTTGATGACAGCACCCATTTCTGCACACCAGTCAGTCACTTCGCCTATAGTTGCCTGTAGCTCTTGGACTATCCGTGCCTGTCACTCCCCTGCCTATATGCAAGAACATCGTCTGCAAATGTCAAAATCCTTCCAACACCTAGTGCTTCAAGTTCTCTAATCTTGCGTGTATACACACTGAAGAGCTACTCTCTATGGAATATATTTCTCACTAATTTTAAAACATGCAATTTGACATCAGGAAGGTGGTATATTCATCCATTCTCGATCTGACGGTAGCCTCTACAATGTTCGTAGGCTGAAGGTCAAAATCAAAATAAGAAGGGTACTAATCACAGAGCTGATGTTTGCAGATGATGCAGTAATAACCACCCTCTCAGACGAGGAGCTGCAACGACTGCTGTTTACACTTGCTGATGCATGCAAAAAAATAAGACAACGGTTGTGGTGCAAGGTGTTAGTGACAGACCTGCAGTCTACATTGACGATGAAGAGCTGGCGACATTTGACCATTTATCTATCTGGGATCCACAGTGAATAACAAACTATGCTGGACCAAGAAATCAACATCGGGATAGGTAAGGCAGCAATAACGATGAACAGATTACCTCAACAACAACAACAAACCCAACAACAAAAAATAGAAAATTGGAGAACAGAAAAGCTCACAATTAAAACAAAAATTCTTGTCTCTTGTGTTTTCAGCACTCTGCTTTATGGTAGTGAAACTTGGTTAGCTTATTCGCCCCATGAGAAGTGCCTAAATATATTTCATATGTGATGCCGAAGAAGAATACTTGGCATTAAGTGGCAGGACAAGATCATGAACAGTGGGATACTGGAAATAGCAGGAGTTACAACAGTCTTCTCAATGCTCAGTCTACAAAGGCTAAGTCACACGTAGTTAATGGAAGAAGGGATAGTCCCTAAGGACATCCTCAATGGTGAATTAAATACGTGTGGAAGATGTCGAGGCCGACCTCTACTACAATATAAAGATGTGTGGAAGCGGGACATGAATGAAACAGGTATAAAGCTAGACTCGTGGAAACAAAATGCATTGAACCATGTTGTGTGGAGGGGGTATATCAGGAAGGGAATGAGAATGCAGGAAGACATGATTGTAGAAAGAAGGAGAGCTGAGCGTCTGAGAAGAATCAGACTAATGTTGACAACAACGGTCTGAAAATCCCACGCCATAATTGTGAAAGACTTTTCTAAACGCGAGTGGGTCTGGCTAGTCGCACTCTGGTCTTGCTAGTGGCACTCGGGTCTTGCTAGTCGCACTCGCCATCGCCTTGGGCTGTGAGTCCCATGCCTCCTCATATCTTCTGGAAAACGGAAAAGTGCCAATCAGATACACTGGGAACATTTAATATACTGGGAACATTAGATGTACTGGGAACATTAGATATAATGGAAACATGAGATATACTGGGAACATTAGATATAATGGAAACATGAAATATACTGGGAACATTAGATATACTGGAATATTAGATATATTGGGAAAATCAGTTATACTGAAAACATTAAATATACTGGGAACATAAGATATACTGGGAACTTAAGAAATACTGGGAACGTTAGATATTTTAGGAACATTAGATATAGTGGAAGCATGAGATATACTTGGGAGCATTAGATATACTTGAATGTTAGATATATTGGGAACATCAGTTATATTATGAATATTAGATATACTGGGATCAGTAGATATACTGTGAACATTAAATATACTGGAATATTAGATATACTGGGAACATTAGTTATACTGAAAATTTTAGATATACTTAGATATATTTTAGATAAACCGGAACATTATATATATGGGGAACATTCGATACACTGGAAGTATTAGACATACTTTGAACATTAGATATACTGTAATATTAGATATAATGGGAATATTAGATATACTGGAAACATGAGATACTAGGAACATTTGATGTATTGGGAATACTATCTATACTGGAAACATTAGATATACTGAAAATATTAGATATAATGAGAATATTTAGACTTCGCCGACGACATAGCACTCCTGAGTTCAGAACACACAGACGCCCAAGAAAAAATCAATCGACTCCAGAATTTCTCAGAACAAATTGGACTCCAAATTAACACCGCAAAAACAAAAATTCTAGACCTTACCAACAGTTCAGTTGATATCACGCTGAACAACAACAGCCTTGAAAAAGTCTTAACTAGGGAGCAAGATGTCATCTACAGGAGATACCGCACCAGAAATACCATTTAGAATAGCATCTTTGAACATAAGATATACATAGTAACATTAGATAGACTGAGAATATTTCATATACCGGGAACAGTATATTTAATGGGATCATAAGATATACTTGGAACATTAAATATGCCATGAATATCATATATACTCTGAGCATTAGATATACGGGAAACATTAAATATACAGGGAACCCTAGATATACTGGAAACATTGGATATAGGGGAACATTAGATACACTGCGAATATGAGATATATCAGGAAGATAAGATATACTAGGAACATTAGATGCACTGGGAACATTAGATGCACTGGGAACATTAGATACACTGGAAACATTAGGTTTACTAGAACACTGGAAATATTAGGAACATAAGATGTATTGGGAACATAAGAGATACTAGAAACGTTAGATATTATAGAACATTAGATATACATAGGAACATTAGATACACTGAGAATATTTCATATACCGGGAACAATATATTTAATGGGAAACATAAGATATACTTGGAACATTAAATATGCCATGAATATCATATATACTCGGAGCATTAGATATACGGGAAACATTAAATATACAGGGAACCCTAGATATACCGGAAACATTAGATATAGGGGAACATTAGATACACTGCGAATATGAGATATATCAGGAACATTAGATACACTGGGAACATTAGACGCACTGGGAACATTAGATGCACTGAAAACATTAGATATACTAGAATTGTGAGCCAGACTGGTAACATCAGATTTTCTGGGAACATTAGATAAACCAATCAAGAACATTTTTTTTATGACACCTAATTGTAACTATTTGTATAGTTATTATTATTATTATTATTATTATTATTATTATTATTATTATTATTATTATTATTATTATTATTAGGGCTGGTATTATTATTGTTGTTAGTTTTATTTTCTTATCACTACATTATTTCAACAGTCTGCATCGTCGCAGCGTGAACTGCTATTAAAATAACAATGACACCTGTACTTAATTCTATTAAGATAGTGAATGTGATTTCCAGTGCCAACTAACGATGTGGTTCTCCCACACAGGGTCCATCACAGCCTGCATCTACGGTGTGTGGGAGCCGAGCCTGGGCGTTTCCAGCACCGCAGCGGACAACTCGACGCCGATCAACAATCATCGCACACACGACGATGTCGCAAACCCACATCTTTCCTCAAATTACAACGGGACGTCGCTATGGGAACCATATTCCTGGTCCTGGCAGGACAGAAATGTGTTCTTTTTGAACAGAACCGCACAGCATGAGCCACGTCTGAATTCTACAGGGGAATCTGGGGGTCATCCAGCAGGAAGCACTCGAAGGGTCATAAAACACTCTGAAGGATTGTGCGTGGCCAATGAGCTGATCTTCTCCGAGAAATTCACCAGCTTGTACCAGAAGATATACATTTCCTTCTACATCATTTGCCTCCTCGCTGTGTTTACTCTATACTTCTTTATTTACCGTTCCGTGGCAGAGAGAAGAGAATGGCGACGGAAGCAAAAGTCGTTCTCCCATTCGCCTCTGACGGCTGTGACAGCTGTGGTAGGCGTCGACAGCTGCAATAAGCCGAAGGATGTGTCTTGTCGTGGAAATGAAACTGTGGAACTGGCTCCACAAAACAGCTCTAACGAAGCTTCCAACTCTGACAGTAAACAGAATGGTAGTGGAAATGATTCCAGCGAGCCGACTGGTCGCACAAGACCTAGCTCCAACAAGTCCGCTGCAGCTTCGACTGCCTCCAAAAACTGTGGTCATGAAAACGGGGTGGAATCCATGTCAGATAAGAAAACAAACAGAGAAAGACGAGACTTTAACTTTCTGGCCAACATCCGCACAGCCATCATGCTTTTCGTGGTCACTCTTGTATTCATCATTAGCTTCTTGCCTGCTTGGCTCATGGCAACCAACATCATCCACTTTGAGATCGTCATTTTTTACATGCATTTTATCTACAACGTGGCAAATCCTGTCATTTATGCCTTCATGAACCAATCCTTCCGAAAGGAGCTCAAGCGAGTATTCCAAAGAGGAACTCATTTATTGCGCGGAAGATAAATTTAGTCACAACTTATTTACATGTGGCCTTCATTTCTTACTAAGCCACCATGTTTGTTTGCTCCACTTTCATCCTGACATTTTTTTTTTTCAGCCGTTCGTATTTCTGCCAAATTTATTTTCACATAAAAGCAGTCATAATAGCATTTCTGTGTAAAGTAATGTTTTAAATTAACTGTCATTGCTGGCTTTCATCTCTCAAAGTCTGCCTACAGACAGGCGAGGTTAGCAACAAAAGCATTTTTTATGTGCCCTACGTGTTTTCCCGCCGTTAACGCTATATACACGAAAATGCTTTTTGCATTGTCCTGTATCTTCCCTTGCGACCAGCAGAGTTACATATAAGGAATCTCCGAGTTCTTCCCACTAAAATAAGTTAGTGATTTACTTACGAAGGTCGGTGGTGATTTTTGGTTCGAGGATATGAACTATGAACGCACATTTATGATTCCAACATATTAGGGTGCGAAGTCAGCTACAGACGAATAAGCAGGCATCCGATCGCATTTTCGACAACGTTTTAAGCATGCACCATTCGGAAAGCAATGGCAAACGACTGAAAGTAAAACTGACTGGTTTCACTCTGAACAGCCAAGTGATGCTAGCGTTGATTTAAAACGTCCTGAAAAGGAACCGCAACTAACATTCTTGAGACATAAATTCACAGACACTGATTTTCCCTTGTAGCAGTGGTTGAAATAAACAGAAATTGGAGAACGCCCTGACAATTGAAACATTGAAATACTGCTGGAACCGTGGCGTGTGGATGCTCTCGGTGTGCGGTGCTTGGGTAATAACAGTCTGTAAAGTGTGAACCAACTGAGCTCTGGGGCCGTAAGGTAATGAAACCAACCACTGGGGCAGTTAGGTAATGTAACCCCTGGGGCAGTTAGGTAATGTAACCCCTGGGTCAGTTAGGTAATGTAACTCCTGGGGCAGTTAGGTAATGTAACCCTTTGGACAGTAAGGTAATGAAACCAACCACTGAGGCAGTTAGGTAATGTAACCCCTGGGGCAGTTAGGTAATGTAACCCCTGGGTCAGTTAGGTAATGTAACCCCTGGGGCAGTTAGGTAATGTAACCCTTTGGGCAGTTAGGTAATTTAACCCCTGGGGCAGTTAGGTTATGTAACCCCTGGGGCAGTTAAGTAATGTAACCCTTGGGGCAGTAAGGTAATGAAACCAACCACTGGGGCAGTTAGGTAATGTAACCCCTGGGGCAGTTAGGTAATGTAACCCCTGGGGCAGTTAGGTAATGTAACCCCTGGGGCAGTTAGGTAATGTAACCCCTGGGGCAGTTATGTAATGTAACCCCTGGGGCAGTTATGTAATGTAACCCTTGGGGCAGTAAGGTAATGAAACCAACCACTGGGGCAGTTAGGTAATGTAACCCCTGGGGCAGTTAGATAATGTAAACACTGAGGCAGTTAGGTAATGTAACCACTGGGGCAGTTAGGTAATGTAACCCCTGGGGCAGTTAGGTAATGTAACCTCTGGGGCAGTTAGGTAATGTAACCCCTGGGGCAGTTAGGTAATGTAACCACTGGGCCAGTTAGGTAATGTAACCACTGGGGCAGTTAGGTATTGTAACCCCTGGGGCAGTTAGGTAATGTAACCACTCGGGCAGTTAGGTAATGAAATCAACAACTGGGGCAGTTAGGTAATGTAACCACTGGGGCAGTTAGGTAATGTA